GGGTTGATTCCAAGATAGCTAACATCATATTTAATGGTGAAAAACTAGACATTCCCTCTAAGATGACAAACAAAATAAGGATGTTTCCCTACCCATTTCACTGCAACACTGCAGTAACAGTCCTACCGAATGCAAATGAGAACAGGACATAAAAGGCTTATAATTTGGGAGGGAAGAAATAAAACCGTCTTTGTTTACAGATAATAAGACTGTTCATACAGAACTTTAAAAAACTGACAGAAAACCATTCTGAAACTATCAAGTAATTATAAAAAATTGCAGGATACAAGGTTAATATGCAAAAGTCGGTAATCTCTTTCCTACATGTCATAAACAACTGGATTTGAAATTAAAAGTGTTATCATTTATAGTATTACCAAGATAATTACAACTTTAGACATTAATCTAATAAGAGATATGTAAGAACTGGATGAAGAAAACTAAGAACACCGATCAAAGAGATCTAAAATGAGGAGAAAACCTACGTTCATGGATAGAGGGGGTTAATATCATCAAGATGCTAATTTTTCTCAATCTTATCTATATATTCAATATAATCCCAATGAAAATCCTTGTTATTTTGCAAATATTGGCAAACTAACCCTAGAGTTTACACAGAAAGGCAAAAGACCCAAAATGCCTGACACAAGACTAAAGAACAGTCAGAAGACTGACACGACCTAGCTTTAAGAAGTATAAAGCTACAGTGTGTTACTGATCAAAAAATGGACACACACATCAGTAGAACAGAAGGAAAAATCCACACAAATAGCCAACTGATCTTTACTCAAGGAACAGTGGCAATTTAAAGGACGGTCTTTTCAATAAAGGTTGCCATATCTGATATCCAGATGCCAAAAAACTAATCCAGATATAGATCTTACATCTTTCAACAAATTAACTCAAAATAGATCACAGACTTAAATGATTAAATGTAAAACTATACAACTTCTAGAAAGTAACATAAAAGAAAATCTACGTAACTTTGAGTTTGGCGTTAAGATTTTTTTAGATAAAAATCCAATAGCATGATCTTTAAAAGAGAAACTTGATGTTAGACTTAATAAAAATTAGAAACTGCAAAAAGCACTGTTAAGACAATAAAATGACAAGTCAGACTGAAGAAAGTATTTACAAAGCCTATCTGATAAAGGGCCTGTTAGCTAGAATATATAAAGAATTCTTAAAGCTCAACAATATACAAAGAATCTAATTTAAAAATGGGCAAAAGATATGTACTGTCACTTTAGAAGACCGCCAGTCTCGTACAAATGTAAATAGGTTTTCCATATGAGCCAGCCCTTGTATTCCCAACCATTTACTCAAACGAAATGAAAATTTGTCCACACAAAAACAGAAATAAATGTTTTGCAGCTATATTAATAATTGACAAACATTGGAACCAACCAAGATGTCTTTCAATAGGAGAATGGATATACAAAGTTGTACATCCATACAATGGAGTATCACTGGGCAATAAAAATAAATGAGCTATGAAAATCATACACACACACCCCATAGAGAAACAGTAAAAGAATATTGCTAAGTAGAACAAACCAGTCTGAGAAAACTACAGACTGTATGATTCCTGCTACAGGACACACTAGAAAAGGCAAAAGTAACTGCTTAAAAAAATTAAAGTGTAGTTTTTTTAAAGTCAAAATGAGTAAACTTTTTGGAGTTTTAAATGTCAATTCTTATGAAGAATAACTGGAGCCATATAAGTGAGTTTCTTACAGCAAGCCGGATGCTAGTAAGCCTAAGATTGCAGGTTGAGGGCACACAAGAGCAGTCAGCTTCAAGAGAGCTGCATTCTGTGGTTACTTGTATTCACCCGAGGCAGACATTGATATGCAATGCTTGATAACAGAAAAACAAATGCCATTAATTAGAGCACAATAATTCAAAACATGTTCTCAAAAGTTGGACTGCTTAGTTTATTTCTAATTCCGGCTAAACTGTTAAGGCTTTTGCAAATTACTTAACTCTGCACTTTAATTTTCTAATCTATAAGTGGCGATTTCAGCAGTATTCATCTCAAAGAATGTGAAGAATGAAGTAATACCTCAAGAGTTTAAAACAGAATTTGTTACATAATAATCAATCAATAAATATTAGGTATACCTATTGTTAGCTCTCAACATTATTGAAAATATACATAATAAATACAGAGAAGTATATATATCACATTTCTTATGTGGGACTGTATAAGTTAAAAGCTAACACTCCCCCTAAAAGATATGAAAATTATGATTTTTGAATATTTTCTTGAGAGGTTAAAAATAAATTTCCAAATACCAAGAGTTAAATGGAAATGCACAGATGTGAATAGCTAAAGTGGATGACTTATAAGCAAGTTGACCTAGACAGGAGAGAAGGTTAAAAAGAACAGAACTCATGGAGGGATTTTTACAACTCCAAGAGGAATAAGGGATGCATGAGGTTTCTCTGTGGTTAAATTAACTTGGTTCCCCTAAGATTTTTTGTTGCCAGAACCTAGATCAGGCCATCTCTTAAAACTCTTTTCTCCTTAATGTGTCTGTAGCAGTGAAGACTTAAAATGAAACTAAATGACAGAATTTCACAGCTGAAATATCATACTAGAAATCACTCCAGCTTGTCTGACAGGTTAAACGGATTCACAGAAGTGGTATCACTTGCCCAAAGTTATACAATAAGCATAGCATTGATCTGTCAAAAACAATATTCCCCTATCACTATAATACTGACTCAAATTCAGCCACTACAACATACATTTTATGCCAGGTTAAATGTATAATCAATTGCCATCACTCTAATTATTCATGGATTATGATTTGTAAGCAGTTCCCATCTACTTCTCATATCTACCTGCATGATATATTATTCTGTAGATTCCAGAATAAACCAGGAAAAATCATTATGGCTCTCTATAAATATAAGAACTTGATGAAATTTCCAAATATTGAAAGTTGAGCATGCCACCAAATTATGATTAAGAGGTTTCTATGATTTCAGATAAAAAGGAAACATTGCATTTAAATGATAAATTATATTACAATTAATTTTTAAATTTTAATTAAAAATTATAATTCAGCTGAAAAAATATTTGTGACATAGCTCTGATAACATATTGAAAAGGAAACTAAAAGCATATATACTGGCTACTACATAAATGGTTCTACACTTACCAAAGCATATTTCAATAAATTACTGTTACAATATAGGAGACATAATTTTCACTAATCACATAATATTTTTTGACTGTTAATTATTTCTAGCCCAGGAGATTAAGACAAACCATATAAACTTTAACAAAAATAACCAAAACAAACAATAAAATGAATAGATAAAATTCCAACATACTAATCTCACCAAGATAATTTTTACAAATAGAAAGTACACTATTTTGTTTGTGTTAAACATGTTTAGCTAAAAAAACTAAGAACAAACTGTAATCAATTCACACAGTCCATATAGTTTCATAAGGAGCCCTGGTGGCAAAACAGATTATGAGTTGGGTTGCTAACAGCAAGGTCAGCATTTCAACTCTACCAACTGCGATAGGGGAGCAAAGATATGGCTAATCTGCTGCCATAAAGATCCACAGCTTTGAAAACCAATGGGGCAGTTCTACTGTGTCCTATAGATTCGTTATGAGTCAGAATCCACTCACTGGCAGTGGGTTTGGTTTTGGTATATAGTTTTATGGTAAATATGAAACCAAAATTATTAAATTCATTTAAGAGACAGTGTGTGTGATCCTATAGAAAATGATAGAGTTGGAATATCCTTTCTCAAAAACACAACAAGAATCTCTAAAGAAAAAGAAGGCATGGGTATAGTAGAGCACATTGAGGGGCCAGCTATGGAAATTTCTTAACTAAATACCTCAAAGGAACAAGCTACTAGACTTGAAGGCTAAAGACTATAGTTTCAGGGGACATCTAGAATGATTGGCAAAACATAGTACATAAAGATAATATTCTCCATCCTAATTTGGTGAGTAGCAGCTGGAGTCTTAGAGCATGAGAGTGGCCATCAAAGATAAAATTATTGGCTTCTTCCCACCCACAGCAAAGGGGAGTGAAGTAAACCAAAGACCGAAAGGAAAAATTAGATGGTGCCTAGCTACTCATGACCTTTTTTTTATCAGAATATCATGTAGTTCTCAATTAGAATGGGAGAAAAGTGCAGACCAAAACTCAAATTCGTTAAATAGGCCACATTTATCGGTCTGGTAGAGACAGGGGGAATCACTAAGACTTATCACCCTTAAAGTAACCCACCCCCAGAAGCCACCCCTCAATGAAACAACATAACTGGCCTGTAAATAAACATCAGCACCCATGAGGAATGTGTTCCTTAAAACAATCAACTACTCCAGACCAAAAGGGGAAGGCCGAAAGGGGTAGGGGAACCTAATGGGGAGAGGACTGACACCTCTGGCAGACACCACAACCCAGGTCACAAAAAATTCCCCTGAGAACTGCTGAGTGGAAAACTGCTTTGCTGTGTAAACTTCTACCTAAAGCACAATAACATGCTGTAATAAAATTAACTAAAGCAAAGAAGAGGGCAGAACTCAGGAAACCTAAAAAAAGAACAATGTGAGCTTGTGGCTGCTCTGTGGTCCATCCTTTTTTGTAAATCACCTCAATGCCTTGCTGCCCTTTCTCCCATTCCTGAGTGTTTTCTCTAAAAACCCATGAGATTTCTTATGTCTCCCTGACTTTATACTTGTTCATCCTCTTGAAAGCAACAAACAGAATAAACAGTGTTTTTAAAAACTATTATCCACAGAAAGGTGAATGCAAAGTTGAAGCTGGAATACAGGCTCCAATTACTAGAGTTTGCACTTTTAGACTTTAGGCTACTAGTCTGTTAAGACTCATTCAAAAATGCTCAGTCAGCTCATGAATTATGGATTTACAGGTGTGAACTAACTGCTGCAAGAGTAATTTATAGGACAGCATTTGATACAATATCAGTGAGAAAAACATAAACATCATGCACAGTACCTTTTGATAAACAATGGAGCACACAAGATCCTTGACAGCTGATAAAGACAGTTCTTGGGCTTCAATGGTAACACTCTCCCGTGTAAGGCCAATTTGCAGTAGGAATGAAATTGTGTGCACTGAGCCCCTGGAGTTGGTGAGTGACGACTGCACACTGAAGGTTCCATTGGACAGTCGGGCAGAGAGCCCAGTCTTAGGACTTGAACATGGAGAAGGACTTGGAAGCACAGCAGGAAGAGTTGCAGGTAATACAGACTTCTGGGCTGATGGAGGAGAACTGTTTGCGGACATCTGCCTTTCTTTAATTTTATAAAATAGCTATCAATTTTAAAAAAAACTTATGAAGCTTTTAAAATCACAGTGATAAAAAAAGTGACTGCACCTTTACTAATAGTTAAAAGCTCCTTTTTTAAGTCATTCATGCCAATGGCTACAAGTTCTATAACAATGAATTGGGTACACAGTATGGTAAGTAAGTCCCTTAGCACTGGTCCCATCAAAAAAGAATCTTGTCGTTAGGACCACAACCAGGGTTTTGCACAGCATTTAACATTATTGAGTTATCCTCTTCAGAAGAGTTGACTGCTTATTTATTATGCATCTTCTATTTCCCTTTAATTCTGTTCTTGTCTCTCTCCTTTATTTTCATAAAATACATATTGAGTAAAAGTTATTTTTCTTTCAAGATGGAATTCTTTTGATTTTAAAAAGAAGCAGAATAGAATTAGTCTATTCAGTTTTTATCCTTTAGCTCACAGATATGATGAGACACTTTCATAAATTTGCATGACTTAAATCACTTTCCCGATTAATGCACTCATTTTCACTTTGGGATATAAATTGTTCTATAATGAAGTCCAAAGATTTTAAACAGTCATTTGATGAAAAGGATCCAATGAGAGCAGGAGTTGTTTTATGAAATGTAGTCAGCCTGGAAGTAAATTAAAAAAAAAGTTATTAAAAAAAAAAGGTTATTATTCTATATTAACTGGACATTATTTTTTAATATGGCTAATTTTTTAAATGCTAATTTTGGTTTTATTTTGATGTCCTTAACTCACCAGAAAAATTCAAATTGTTGATCATTTTTTATTTAGCTCTCAAGGCCATTTTTACTATATTTATAATTTCAAAGAGACCCTCTTACTCAAAAGAACAAAACAAAACAAAAAAACTTACCATCTTCCCTACTACCTGAAACTTGAAGATCATAAAAAAGTAATTATGCAACAGGTCTGAGAAAAACAAAATATTTTTAAAACACTGACATGGCAAAATAAATAAAATACAAAAGATGTCTAATGCAGTCCTTATTTTTGCCAAAACATAACCCATGACTTAGCTGCTTTGTGTACAAATTCCTTTTAGGTGATGTAAAAACCATAAAAATTGACATACCGTATATACTTGAATGTAAGCCAACCCGAATATCCACCGAGGCACCTAATCTTACCACAAAACTGCCTAAAAAATGTGCTGAAAAACTTGGCTTATACTCGAGTATATAAGGTACTTATGACAGGAACATGAATGTTTGCGTTATCTAGTACTACTTAATACCAGAACTGGGCAGCTTTAACAAACAAATTTATTTTCAAATATTTTAGGAGGCTAGAAGTCTAAAATCAGGGTGCCAGCTCTACAGTTAAAGGAGGCTTTTTTTCTCCTCTGTTGGACCTAGAAGGTTCTTGTTTCTACAGCTTCTGCTTCCTAATGCTTTGAAGTTATTTGTATGCCTTAGCATTTATCTCACCCCATCTCTGATCTATTCACTTGTTTAATCTCATACCTCGAAAGAGATTGAATCTAAATACACCTCACATAAATCCTGCTTTGTTAACATAACAAAGACAACCCATTCCCAAATGGGATTACCACCAAGGGCACAGAAGTTTAGCTGTGCAATAAATATTTGGGGGTGTGTGTGATGACAACATAATTTCATCCATAACAACAGGAAAAAGTGATCTCATCATAAAGGATTTCGAACAGTAGTAGAACACTTGGCACAGGTTAAGTATGTGTCATAGTTTTTAGGAATGCACAGTTAAAACGTTAACTAAAGTATGACTCAAGGAAGTAAAACAACTCCCAAGATGGCTCTTTCTAAATTCTATCTATACATTAATAATTCAAATAAGGAAAAAAGAATGAAGCATACTGTGTGACTATAAAATCATTCTCTAGGAAGTCGTTAGTTAATGGGGACTAAATAAGTTAGGATGACCACAACAGAAGAACAAAACATAGACACTATTAGAAACGAGAAAACTTAAGAATACACCAAGACTAGCTTAGGGAAAAATGCTTAAAGATAACAAAATAAATTTTAGCTATAGTAAAATAAATGACTATCACACCTTCTGTTGAACAGCACTTTAAACACTTTTCACACACTTTACCTCATGACACCTCTTCTAAAGTTGAGAGAGTAAACAGCCTTTTTGCAGATGAGAAAAGGAGCTCAAGGAGCGAAAGAAAGCTATCAGCAGCAGCACCCCAAGGTTAGGGGTGGAGTGGGAATTAGAACCCAGGGTTCATACTTTTGAACTAGTGCCCTCTCCACAATAACAGATTATTTCTCAGAACCAAGAATTGAGAGAATCACTACTCGAGAGGATGTTGTTAATGTTGAAAAATCACAGATAGAAGGCAAAATTACTCAACTTGTATTTTGCTTTTTTAGCTTCTCCAATGCAGAAGAGCACCGAGAGCTGAAACCCAAGCCTGATGAGTAAGGAAGACTAAAACAACTTTATGACAAATCAGATGCTCTACACAGGAAGCATTTCACTCTAATATTGCAAAAGCAAGTAACAACGGTAATCACAATGGTGATGCCTACAATCTTGTCAAACGAGCTCAAAAAGAGAGAAGTAATCAGTCTGGGTCAAGGGTGCTCTAGTCTTGGGTTTTGGAGGAGCAGGGAAGCATAATTCAGAGCTTGCACATATGAACTTAATACAAATCTTTAGCCAAATCGGACAACAGATTATGAAGTAAAGAATCTAACGATCACTAACAAGTATATCAAGTCAATCATATTGCCATCTTGGTAAAGATTGATCTAGACTTCTTAGGTGGGGGAAATAATAATAGCAGCAGCAGTGATAGTGTGATAGTTAGGTTTTTTTGTGTCAACACAACTCCCGTAGGGACACATGGGTGGAGTTTAGCCTGCCAATAAGATTGATTAGAGGGTTATGTCCTGAGAAATATTCATGTGGGGTGGTATTCATAACTTTGATGGTCTCACCCCTGGTAACTATCAAAGTCTGTTTCTTTTAGTGTTGGTGTTGGGGGACACCGATGTCAACTGGCACAACATAATACACAAAGGCAAAATTAGTTAAGTAGCGAACAGGGTCATAAAAATTCATTAGCAGCCATCTAAGGTGCAACACAGGTCTCTCCTGAGCTGTGGGAAAAAATTATGAAAATGGAAAAGATTATTAGAACACACAAACATCATTCCCCACAACCCTGAGACCAGCTGATGTCTGCTACCACTACCAACTGCTCTGAAAGGTTGGCATTAGAAAGTCCTGCATAGGATGGGGAAAAATGTGGAACAAAACTTAAAATCATGAGAGATCAAGCTTTTGGGTAGGAATCCAGAGACGATGATCCTCAGCTCCCTTCAAATTGGGAACTAAGCACACCTTTGTGACTGAATAAACAACCATTTAACATCAGAGGTGCACCGTTTACTCCATGGCAAAGCTCAGAGGATTCGGAAAGAAGAGGAACAGAAACAAACAGAAGAGAAACAGACACGGGGAGCCATACATCGAGTGGACTGCAATAGATGGATCACAGTACGTGTGTATAGTGTTGTGTGTTAAATGTAAAACAGACAATTTGCACCGTAGACCTTCATCTAACTCACAATAACATTTTTAAGAAAGCAAAGCCAGGAAAAAACAAAGTATCCTAAAGTATTCAAAATAATTTTCCACAATGTTGCCTGACTGTAAGCTGATTGCCAGTGCACATAGATGGGCTTCCTGTTCTGTGTCAACCTAGATGGGACAAGGCTCTAGGGGAGTATCGTGGGGACTATCCTTGGTCCTATATTGTTTGGGTTTTGTGGTAAAATACATATCACAAAGTTTTTGTTATTTCACCCAGCCTTCAGTGTACAATTCTATGACATGAATTATACACTCACCAGGTGTGCCACTACCATCATGCTCTATCCTCAAATATGTTTTTTTCACTGCAGAGAGAAAAGGCCTTCAGCAAAAGTTCTATATTGTTTTCATTATTTACGAGATGTTATAGACATAGAAGGCAGTTACTAAATCCTTGGAGAGCACAAGTCCTGAAGAAATAAACTAAAAATAAGATGAAATTGAACAAAGATAAGTTAAAAGCTTTGCCTTTAGTTTCACAAAGCCAAATGTACAACACAGAAATGGGGAAGTGCTGCTCTGGAAGCCGCTCCTGGAAAAGGGGTTATCTAACCACCTGCTTGATGTGAGCCACCAGCAGAAGAGATGACTAAAGGAACTAAAGCAAATCTGAATCCCAGGCACCAGTACTGCGACACCTTCCATCTCTCCACTTACTCGCTAGTCAGCCTTCACCACTCTATGTTCATTTCTAATATCCACAATCTTAGAGCTATATTCATAAAGGTAAAAGGGCACGAATCCAGATAAAAGTGAAAAGCATGTTATGTGTCAAAACTGTGAAAAAGCCCCAGAAGTCCTATCTGACCTCCTCTAGCTACACAAACGAGGAGAACCCACCTCCTCAGCAGTTCAAGGAAATTGCCACAAGGCAGAGGGCAGACATGCCTCCACCCTCCATCATTCCTCCACCAACTACCCTCTTCCCACCTCCCCAGCAGGCTGCTTCTCTGTTGGGTTTCACAATCCGTTGCAATGGCCACACAGATCTCTCAGACAATACTCATGATTATGGGGGCTTATTAAGGAAATTAAAGATCACCACATGCCAGAATCAGAAAACCTTAAGGCACTGGTCCACCACGGCACCTCTCATCAGCCAGCAGCCAAGTTTCTCTTTCTGGTCCAGTCTCTCAGCCATATATTCCTTTGGCTTCTGTCTCCATTGACAAGGAAGGCCACCTGCGCTCCACTTCACTGTCTCAGAGTCTCAGCAGCAACTGCCCCTCTGCTCTGTCTCAGTGTGCCTCCTTTGCTCTGTCTCATGGTCTCCAACGCAGCAACCTCTTGAGGTTGAATCTTGAGGCAAGAGTCTCAAACAGGCTCCAACGGTGTTTTCCCTTTGATGGTCCTGGGAATTCTCTCTCTGTTTCTGGGATGGCTCTCTTACCCATAAAGGAACGATTTTGATAGAGGTACAGTTCTGTTTTCCAGCAGAGCACACATCCAAGGAAACAAAGGGTGGTGACTTGATTCAATCCTCTAGTGAGGTATAAAGGAGTCACGGTGGTGTAGTGGCTTACATGTTGGCTTGCTGAGAGCAAAGTCCATAGTTCAAACTCACTAACTACTCTGTTAGAGAAAAATGAAGCTTTCTACTCCTGTGAAGATCTACAGCCTCAGAAATCTACAGGGCCAGTTCTACTCTGCCCTGTAGGATTGCTCTGAGCTGGAATCAAATCACGACAGCAATGAGAGAGAGAAAGGGGGAGACTGACAATATATCTCACCTTAAGCCTAATAGTGTAACAGAAAGCTCTCTTCAGAATGAGATTAAAATCACTGGGCATAGAGCTAGAATTTACAATATATCAAAAAAGGAATTATGGATAGAACCATATTAAGAAATTTCACTTCACCACATAAACATATGCTTAAAATCACACATGCATATACTACATAGACAAATAGGAGGTAGAATAAAACAAAACAAAATCAACAAACCCACTGCCATAAAGTTGATTATGATTCATAGCAACCTTATACAGGCTGTAAAT